ACATCCCCACCCAACATGGAAAACAGAGTCCAGCATAATAGATAACAAATAGGGAAAGCAATAAAATGCTATGCAAACTTATGCTCAGATAAACATGTACAAATGAGTAAACTGAAAGCATAAAAATAAACACCCAAAGAAAAGAAAACAAGAGCTAGGAGCGACTCCGGGATGGACCAGCATTTGGTCGACCAGTCCCCAGTGAAGTCGCCAGCTGAAACAACTGGCTGAAAATCATCAAACAATGAAGTCGCCATCGAACGTCTTTTATCCCACATGTAGGGAAAGGTAAACATCGAGAAAACCTGATGAGGGAGAAGTCACGGTCTTGTGACCGAGAGATCGGGTAAGGGAGTCTGTTACGCGAGGGGAAGGTATTAGCACCCCACACGCCCGTAGTACTCTACGGTATCCACTCTTGTTGTCTATCTTACGGGTGTGTTCAATCTATGCTTACGGTTTATTATTGCTAAAGGGAAAATGCATGCAAAAGAAAAGAGAAAAGAATGTAGGGAAAATAAAATTGTTGTGCTCGCTTTGGGCCCTACCCCAATGCCTACGTATCCCTTTTAAGGAATCAGAGCAGCCGTAGTTCGGCTTACATGTTTCTATTTGTTTGTATTTTTTACTGAACAGTATTAATTTCGCCTTCTGCCGCAACTCGACCTTTGGAGATTTACGCGTCAGCACATAAGTGAATTAACATGCTCTTCTGAAAAGTTTGGAAAGAAATGTGCCTGGACGCACAAAAGTTTGAATTTGTTTGTTTTTGTAATGAATAATATTAATTTCTCCTTCTGCCGCAACTCGACCTTTGGAGATTTACGCGTCAGCACAGAAGTGAATTAATACGCTCTTTTGAAAAGGGTTTGAAAGAAAGGCCCGAAGGCAAAAAAAGATTTTTATGTTTGTTGGTGTTTTTCGCTTGTAGAGAATAGCTAGTTGATCTCAAGGGAGAGATTTTAGCCACGTCTCTACTTATTCATGAAATGAGTCTTTGAGACTTGAACCACACCAAAGCTTAGAATAAGAGATCAATAAGGTCGAGAAGAGACCCACTTATCGTCTCACATACTTAACGAAGATATGATTCTCGTCAGTAAATTTTTATGTGCTTTTGAAGTTTTGCGAGAAAAAGAAGTTTTAGTTTTAGTGCGAATGCAAAAGGGAAAGAAAAGTCACAGGGAGACTAGTCTATTTCTAAACCTAATGTTATCGTGCATTAATAGTCTTAAGGTTAGAATGAAGGGGAAACATCCACCTAATGTTAGTATGCACATGGATTGCGGTAAAGAAATGCAATAAAGTGCGAAATGAGGGATAAAATAAGGCCACGATGATACCGAACGGAGAAGGTCCGTTGCCTTTTCGAAGTCACACAAGTGATAAGAAAACTCTACCGAAAGTTGCTCCGCATGAGTGATCATAGACTTAATCTCCAAGCATTCCATATTGCAAGAATTACATCGATGCTATATCACAAAATCAAGCAAATTCGTGTAACACGCTCAATAGAAGTAGTTTTGACATTATAACTTCTGAAGCACCAACGCTAACAGAGAAGGTTCATTGCCTCTTCAAAGCCACACAAGCGATGAGATAACAATACCAAAGGCCTCTTAAATATTTCTCAATGGAGATTGCACTCTTAGTTCGTTTCGAAACATATTGAACCCAAGTCTCTTTTTATCCCATAATCTCACACAAAATTGGCATTAAAACCTACCAAAAATCATGGCTAAAATAACAGCAAAAGATTACTAAACATTAACAAAAGATTACAAAATGATAATAATAAACAAACTAGATTCTAAAAGATTTATAAACAAATTCTAAAGAAAAATCTAAAATCTATTAGAATGCTTATTATTCTTACCTTTTTCATAATAAAAAAATATAGATAGAAAAGTGAAACTAAAACTACCATTAAAGGGGAAATAAAAGTGATTCAGAGGGGAGTGCAAACTGTAGACAATGGTACTGAATAACAATCAGAATTCTAGTATTAAGCCCAAATTGCATGAGTCCATAAGCCCTTTTTGTTCACAAGCTGAGAAGCTGCCAAAAATGCCATTGGACCAAGGCAATGTGTGATCCAATCCAGTCCAATATCTTCTCACTGATTTTTTTTATTGTATAAACAAAGGTAAAAACAAAAATTAGCAATTAACAACAAAATAATGATTGCAAAAGGGGGAAAAGAGATTGAAACCGTGCGTTTTGAATAACATAGGGTTTTAAAGTTTTGTGACAATTGGAGTTCACGATCCGACTTTCTCAAAGCGGCACGAATTCGCCTTCTCCATTCTTCATCTCCGCTTCTGCCTCCGCCTGTGTTCGTCTCCATCTTCATCGAACGGACGATCTTCAAGTTGTTCCAAATCGAACACCAACGGTGAAGTTCTGATTTCACCTCTACCGGAGCAACACCGGTGGTTTCTTTCAAACGCGAGGACGATGCTGCGAAGATCATAGAATAGATTAATCCGAGTAAGCTTTCACTTCATCTAATCTCCTTTGTTCCTCCCCGGAGATTCTCTTCTTCTTCTTCTTGCATTTTTGTTGCGGTTCTTGTGCGACTTTGTTGCAGAGAAGTTGTGTTGTGAAGCAGGTTAAAGTGTAGTGATGTCGATCGAAGCGTTGATGTGTTCTGTTTTGATGCAGAGAGGGGGTTGTGATTGAAGGTTTGTAAAGGATGATGAAAATCTAAGTTTACGGTTATGGAGATTTGCGATTTGCAGAAGGTGAATGAAGATGATGATGCAAGATTAAAGAATTGTGTAGAGAGAGCTGAGAGAATTTGTTGACATTCTTGGTGATTCTTCCAGAAATTGGAGAACGAGGAAGGTCCATTCTGATTTTAGAGATAGAGTGATTTGAAGAATGAAGTTTCTGGTTTTTCTTGTATGGTTCTTTAGAATGTGAAGAATGAAGCAGCGGGAGAGAGAGAGAGAGAGAGAGAGAGAGAGAGAGAGAGAGAGAGAGAGAGAGAGAGAGAGAGAGAGAGAGAGAGAGAGAGAGAGAGAGAGAGAGAGAGAGAGAGGAGAGAGAGAGAGAGAGAGAGAGAGAGAATTTTCAGATCTCTTTTTGGTGATTCTCCAAGGAGTGTTGAAGAATGATGAAGATGAGGATGAGAGGAGGAGAGAAAGTTTTCTTGGTGATTCTTCTGCAGAGATTTAAAGAATCAATGTGAATTGGTAAGTTTCTATAGTTAAATCTATTATGCATCTCTGTGTGTGAATTAAATGGGAAAAAATCTGACGCTAATCCTCTATCCCTCTTTCTCTTTATATCAGTTGTATCGACTATTCAGGGTTGATGAAAACAGTTAGAAAGTTAATTGGTTATGAAATTCTGTTATAGACAGTTAGAAGTGGTTATTGAAGTTAGTTACAGTTGAGATTTTTTTTGAAACTGAAATTCAGTTATGTGACCTTGAAATGAGCTAGCATTATTTGTTAGTTTGTAATTCTGTTTCTGATTCCATCATTTATATTTGCAGCATGCAGAGCAGCACCAAGAACTATTGCTTCATCAGCCTCATGATTTTGTATGCAAATATATGGAAGTCATCTTCAAGTCTCCGATTCATGTGCTTCCTTTGCTATCATGTCACTCAGTTTGTCACGGCGAACTCATTGCGGAGTTGAAATTGATCTTCTCTACTTCTTCCTCGGATGTCTAATTGTGCAGCTCATGAAGATTAGCTTGCAGTTACTCATTCTTGAAGCAGGTTTCAGCTACTCCCTTATTAATCTTCGTTCTTCGCTCTCTTCAACAGAGGATGCAATAGAAAACGAGTATTTTGATATTTACTCGGTAAGTCTGATTATGTAACGGATTCTCTGTCATCAAGAAAGATCCATAATCTTAATGAAACAGTGAAGTCGATGGTAGCAGCTGGTTATAAGAAAGAGTGCTATGATGTGTATAGCAGTTGGTGCAAGGTATTCTTGAAGGTGTGTCTCAACTCTTCAGGAACAATGAAAAATCGTCCAGGTCTCAATCTTATGCTCCATTTCATAGCCTGCACCTCTGGTTTCTGATGCAATTCTAACCCAACATAATCGACAAAAATGAACTTGCATGAAGCAGCCCGGGGGAAGCGCATGAGTATATATAACCAGGTTGATGTTCTCATGCTCAAAATTGCTTCATCAGCCTCATGATTTTGTATGCAAATATATGGAAGTCATCTTCAAGTCTCCGATTCATGTGCTTCCTTTGCTATCATGTCACTCAGTTTGTCACGACGAACTCATTGCGGAGTTGAAATTGATCTTCTCTACTTCTTCCTCGGATGTCTAATTGTGCAGCTCATAAAGATTAGCTTGCAGTTACTCATTCTTGAAGCAGGTTTCAGCTACTCCCTTATTAATCTTCGTTCTTCGCTCTCTTCAACAGAGGATGCAATAGAAAACGAGTATTTTGACATTTACTCGGTAAGTCTGATTATGTAACGGATTCTCTGTCATCAAGAAAGATCCATAATCTTAATGAAACAGTGAAGTCGATGGTAGCAGCTGGTTATAAGAAAGAGTGTTATGATGTGTATAGCAGTTGGTGCAAGGTATTCTTGAAGGTGTGTCTCAACTCTTCAGGAACAGTGAAAAATCGTCCAGGTCTCAATCTTATGCTCCATTTCATAGCCTGCACCTCTGGTTTCTGATGCAATTCTAACCCAACATACTCGACAAAAATGAACTTGCATGAAGCAGCCCGGGGGAAGCGCATGAGTATATATAACCAGGTTGATGTTCTCATGCTCAAAATTTCTCAAACATTCTTTTTCTAAATTGCTTTGACAGAACCAGTGATAACCCAAATTTCATCTCATACACAGCAACTTGAATTGGTTGAATAATGTCATCACATGCTGAATAGTTATCCCTCAACCGATTAATGAAACACATTGTTGTTTCCTGCCAACGGTGATTGCTGTCAATAATTTCCTGCTAAATATCCGCACTCTTTCCGAATTTCATGATTCAAGCTGGAGTTTAATGCATCAAACTGTTGCGTTTTCTGTGTTTGTTTTTGTTATGATATATGCAGGGTAGTTCTTTCTGTTTATACAGGGCAGTAACGAAGGAACAATGGTAGCACATGGGCGTAATTTGTGGTTTTGAGTTAGCAGAAAGCTTATTGGAAGAAGCAACAAACTGACCACTGCCTAGATTTTCAGATTCCTCAATGTTATTGGTGGGAAAGCCATATGCAATACCCACCTTGTCCAAAGACATGTCTGTTGTTTCCACAAAATCTTGGAAGAGTGAGCGGCTTCTGAGTAATTGTTGGTTGGCACCATGAGATGGATTCATATCAAAGGCTTGGTTTTTGGATTCCTCTTGTCTTGCAAAAGAAAATCTTGATTGATTGGTTTGAACATTCCAAGAACTAGATTTCTTTAGAGGACCATTCTGATTTTCGGTGCTGTCACTTAACAGCTTCGCCAAATCATCCCAGGCATCAAACTCCATGAACAATATATTTGAAATTATACTACTCTCACCATTATCTGTTGTAGCAGCATCATTTCCTATATTAACTGTTTTACTCATTAATTTTCCAATGTGATGATCATTCCTTTCATCATGCAGCAATGAGCTGGTGCTGTCCAATTTCTCAGAATAGCCATTGCATAAAGCTTTAGATTCATGTAATTTTGGTTCATACCCAACCTCATTAACTGTGGCTAAAGAACCAGCATTAACAACAGTACAAGGTTCACCATGCTGCAGAGGATGAGGATTATTATGATTTGTGACGTGAGGGAAACAAGACCTAGGCAAATAAGAATGACTAACGACTTCTGGATCCTTAAGTCTCTGACTATCAAAAGATGTCACATCATCTTCTACTTCAGCATAACCAGATGCTAGCTCAGATTGAGAATCCAATTTTAAATCATATTGTTCTTTTGATTTACAGACCTCGCTATCTGATATAAAGGCTTTATTAGCAGCATACCGGACAAGAAGAATCTGCCCATTTTGAAATACAGGAACAATGGAAAGAATGAATACATATGGTTGTAAGAATTCAACTTGCGTCTTGATCTAATCGATCAAGGTAAACTGGACATGTTGGTTGTTCGGTTGAAAGGTCATGAAGATTGAAGAATATATGAAGATGGCGAACTTTGGCATGGCATAGACTTGGAAGTTTACTCATGGAATTTTAACAACTTTAGGACTAAGGAATTTTGTTCAAGTGTATTTTGTAACCGTTTTCTTTTCTTTGTAGAATATTGGTGTAATGGGGTTGTAATGTTTGATTTGGATGAACTTGAAATTTATAGTGTGAATTGTAAATGACCTTTGAGCTTGAAATGTTGGGTGATGAATTTTAAGGACGGGGTTTAAATGACAAAGTCTTGAAAAAATGCTTGAAGACATGAAAGCATCAAATTTTCTTGTAAGGTATTGTTATACTTGAATGAAATTGAATGGAATTGGATAGTATTTTTTTGAATCATGAACGAAAGGGTTCGAATAAACTTTGAACACATGTGAACTTGAATCTGGAATAACAGTGAACATCTTTGTAATGCGTATGAACTCTGACTTGAAACAAATCCTCGCCTTGAATGCCTTGAACCTTCCAAGAAAGCCATATGACCAATACTTAAGACTCTTTGCCGACTTTAATTCAACCAAACACTTTTGAACATCTTGAACTCAAATCAAACTTCAAATCCAAATCACACTTGCGTTCTCAATGAACTCCTAACTTCAATCTTGAATGACAAATAATTTGAATAGCCAATAAGATCTTGATCCTAAAAAAATTCACAACCTTGCCCTTTTGCATCATGCCTCATCCTACGATTCAATCCACAAGTCTCTTATCTCGACGAGGTCCTTCTCTAATTGACGACCTTTAATCATCAAAGATGTACACAAATTATAATGAAAGAACATGATCGAGATTAACATGAAACCTTATTTCCCATGATCTTCAATTACTTGAGCATTTATCAATGAATAGAAACCCTGATTTTTAATGAAATCTTCCTTTTCTGAACCAATATTTCTTTTCCTTTACCATACTATTCTTCAAATGCAACTCGAATTCCCAACACATATTAGATGAAAATTCAAGGGAGACCTTGGCCCCAAAGTTAATTGTTCAAAACTTACTTTAACCGAAGTCAACAGATCTTATCCTCGTATCTTTGAACTTGGCCCATGATTATGCATCTCAAGGTCTCATAAGAGCTTGTAAGCCCATCAACCAGGTATGCCATGTTGAACAAAACCCTGCCTTGAATGCCTTGAACCTTTAATTACCTTGCATGAATTCTTGCCCCAGTCTGTAAGGCTTTTGCAGATAACAAATGACAATGATGAGGACAATGATTGCCTTGGTTAAGGAGAAATCTATGAATTCATATCTTAGGTCATGAACCACGCTTCACAATTCAATCCCCAGCCCTTAGCGATCGGTTATTTCAACTTGAAATTAGCGTCATAAGGAACATCTTACAGAGGGATGATAAAGTCTGAATCACAGAAGAATTCCCTTAACGTGAAACCTAGTTGCACAAATGAAAACCCCAACACTTGCCAAGACTGGATAAAAGCAATTATATCTTGAAGAGAAAGAAATCATGTTAACCACACCTCACAATCTTGATTCCCCGTTTAGATGCACAGAGAAATATCCGGATAAAACATCTTTGAACCATGATTCAACAAAACCTAAATTGATTAACTGAGGAGTAGATGAATGTCATGTCACAGTCATTAATCCTAATCAAATGACAAGCATACTTATAGGAAAGGATGCCATGCTTCAAAGTCCACATATGCTAGGTCACGTCCTAGAGTTCTTGACCAGAATGACCTACAACCAGTTGTTCATCAAAAGATATTAGCCCAGTAACTGGGTGGAGAAGAAGTCCAGAAATGAGCCTAAAAAAACCTAATTCCAAAGCTTGTTGCATGAATAAGAAATCATCCTTTATTGGATACGAGCGCCTTAACCACTGTGAAACCCTAGTATCGCACAACCACTGAACTTTAAACCTCAGAGCTATATTGAATGAAATGTATGCCATGTTAGTGACCTAATGAAATAGATGCAGATGAATACAAAAGTATAAGCCAAGAATAAAAGAAATTGGGAGGGAAAATTTTGGGGTGCAACAGTCGTTCATCACTCTACTGGGGAATTTAATTCCTATACACCTTAACTGGGGATAAGAGAGATGGATAACCTTCTGAGTTGCTGCCTGACTGGTTTTCCGATATGGATGTCGACTCGTCTGGAGAGGATAAGGTTGAATATTACCTGGTCCGGTTTCAGATTTGGTAGCAACTCTCTGGGGATAGTAGCCTGGACTGTCCTTTGTTAGAGAGATGAGTTTTGTCGATGATTTGCAGAAGATAAAGGAATAAACTCGGGGGGAAGGCTGAATTTCGTTTGGGAAACAAACCTTGTTGGGGAAATAAACCCTGTTGGGGAAATAAACCATGTTGTAGAAACACTTTGCTGAGGAGATGAGTCCTGCCGGAGGAGAGAATTCTATGGGTAATTTTATAGTGTTGGAGAAATAAACTCAACTGGTGAAAAGAATTCCTATAAATTGTGCCGACGACCTAATCTCTGATGAGGGTTGGAACTCCATAAGTTGGCGACATTGTCGGGGAGATGATGACACTCGTTTATCCGTTAGGGGGGGTCTGTTGGTGAGTACAACTATGTTAACAGCTAGAAGATGCCCTACTTTCTGCCGTGAAGGCATATTAGACTTGTGGGGAATGTATCTCTTGTTGAAGATGAGCTTGTGCAGATAGCTCTGTAGGGATAATTCTATGGAAACTACTCTATGGGGCTTTATGGATGACTTGAACATTATCTCAACTTCTAGAGCCCTTGGTAAATGCTGATCAAGGTGATGAGTCTTCTATTGGTAGATAAGAGATAACGGGATATAGTCATACACTTTAATTCCTAACTTTTTCCTAGACCGTCTTTTTGGATTTTCAGTCCATCGGGATACCCTTTTTTGCCCAAGCCTCCTTTTCAGGTTTTCAACTTGCCGGGTGTACAATTTTATTTATATATCCCTAATTTTTTCCTGAATTCCTTGGTTCGACGAAATGCCCTTATTTTTGCCTAGGCCAATCAACCTAGCGGGTATTTTTTTCATGCGTAGTATTTTACGACTATGTCTGCATTCACAGGGTGCAAAGAATTGTCATTGTCCATAGTATTAATTATTGTAGCACTTCCAGAAAATGTTTGCTTGATCGTACATGACCCTTTGCTGGAATTCATATTTAATGCGCCAAGTGACTCAGATGAAGATCTGCCCCTGGCTATTCAGCACTTTTAAGAGACTCTTTGAATCTTGACTCGACTAGCACAGATGAGTTGGATAATAACATGTGATGCCCCTTGATTATGGAAGGCTTGTTATTGGAAGTGTCTTTCCATTTGAAGTGATTTTGTTTATTGAGAGGTTTTCCGTTCATTGAATATTCGTCGTGTGAATTTCTCTGCTGGAAAACGATTAGTTATATGCAAACAGTGGTATAAAAATGCAAAGCTTATGTCTGTGTTGAAGTTTAAAAATGAATTTTTAGTAAACAAACAGAATTTTGTAAGAATATGAATTCAACTCAAGATTTATAGTAAGCCTTACAGGAGTCAGTATACTTTTTGTAACAATATGCTTTCGAACTAACATATGCTTCAGTTAGGACTTTTAAGGGTTGTAACGTGGACTGGTTCACGATTTAAGAAACAAAGGATAAAGGCTCAAACTTTATTTGTACCCAACCCGTTCTCTGTGATGTTCTTCAGCCCTATACTTAGTTAAATGTCCATTTAGATTCCAATTGAGTCTGGAATGACATTTTGGTGATGGTTCGAATACTGGAAGTTTATTTGAGAAGGCAATCATTTTTGTAACATTTTTCTATTTTCGATTATTTGTAGCGACCTCTTTTTGATTTTGTTGTCCCTACCTTTTGCCTGAACTATTTCTTCTGTGATTACAGTCAGCGGGATGCCCCAGTTTTTTTCTTAAGTCTCCTTCATAGGTTTTGACTTAGAGGACTTTTCTTTTGAGAGATAATGATTGCCTGTTTTATGGGGAACCATCACCATCTTTTGATTTGGAAGGATGTCTCTGATACTATTCGTTGTGTACGAAGTAAAAGCTTGTGACTTCATGTGCATTTAAATTAACTAAGAAAATACCATGCCCTAGGTTATGATTAAAGGTTTCAATTTGCGTGAAAAAGAAAACTCATACTTCTTAGGCTCAAAGGGGTTGACTAGGGATTATCTTCCTTATAACTCCATTGCTTTGGATTTAAAACAATGCTTGTACATCGTCAGCAAGGTCTGTTCAAAAGAATATTGTAGAGATTATGGTATCATTTTTGTCATCCTCCCTCTAAAGGCTTATAGATTTTTAATCGAGAGTTAAATATCATAAAAAGGAAGTAAAAGCATAGTTTAAGTATAATGAAAATGAATAGATTAATTCAAGGCAAACATATGCAATGCATTAATGGGTACAACCAAAGTCTGACATAAAGATAAGTGTTAGAACAAACAAAAAAATTACAAATGAAAATTCGAATGAACAAAAAGCTTCTCCGCCTGAATTTATCATTTCAGACGGTGTGCCTTTGAGGGATGACATAAAAACTCAATTTGACCCTCTTGTGTGAATTCCAACACTCATTCATCAATCAAGTCTTGAATCTTATATTTCAACATCCAACAGTTGTCAATATCATTCCCCGGACTCTTGGAGTGATATGCACACCTTGCATTAGGATTGTAGCTAGGAGCGGAAGGATTGGGATTCCAAGGAGGATCCTTCAATGTGACCAAATTCATCTTCAACATGTGTTGCAAGGTTTTAGACATTGGCATGTTGAGTTTTGTATATTGCCTCTTGGATGTATCCTGCTTACGCTGACTACCCTGTTGTTGTTAGCGAGGTTGTTGTTGGGCTTGCGATGTAGTAGAAATCCGGAAAGGCCTACTTTCAACCAAGCCAACTTCCTATCTTATTGGAGGTTGATTAATGATTTGATCCCCAATTCTATTCGTTCGTCCCATACGGTTGTATTTGTCCTGATGAAGTTTTCTGATGAGAATTCTCAACTCTTCTTGTCCCCGATCTTAGTTTTGGATAAGAGCCATATGACCCATCATCTGGATTCTCATATTTTCCATCTCAGCTAACAATTGTTCCAATTGATCACCCTCGTTGTCTTAAGGATTCTTCTTGGTCATGTTCTCAGTGAGGAGTGCTTTCAATTCCTTTTGCGCCTTGGCTAAGCTTAGGAACATCTCCTAGAATTACACATTTTGAGTTTGGAGATCTCTGACCGTTTGTTTGAGAGCCATTTTTCTGCTGAAATAAACAGCGAGAAAATGAGAAACCACTCTTGAGAACTACCTATTATGTAATGACATGCATGATATGTAAATACAATATTTTCAAGGATCTTGCAGGATAAATAGAAGAAAATGTTAGAATCTGACTACAGCTTTGATTGAAAAATTTTGTATCGTTGAATGTCCTTCTACGAGAATCAAGCTCACCATGTCAAGTGGGTCCTAGCCTTTGACTCAAGATAATATGCTTCGGTCTTTGACGGCATCTGGTTAGAGGAAAATAAATTCCTTTTCCCCTTGATAGACATTTGGTTCATCATATCCCTGCATCATAATTCCCTTGAGATCCTTGAAATGATTAGTGAAAATGATATTGCATGATGTCATAATGTCATGATGTTATGTTCGAACAAATAATCAAACACAAGAAAAGCACACAAGGCCTTAAGTTCAGGCTTGGATGGAGTTTGTAGGTAAGTATCCTCTTTAGTTTTAGTTGGCTCAACCTGTCCTAAAAGAAGTAATCGGGTTCTAGGAGTATCATATCACCGATCTTTCTCCCAGGAATTGTTTCAGCACAAGCATCTGATTTGCGACCGAAATATCGAGAGAGTATGATCTTAATGAGTGTAGCATCAAGTATCAACCAACTTCAGTCTTCTCCAAAGTCGGCCATCTCACTACTTTCTAATGGCTAAGTTGTGTCAACTAAGGTT